TTCGTTCTCACAACACATTACACGACAAACAACATTTACACACGACACGTGCGACATAAAAATAAATACTTTTAGTTTGATAGGCCTATCACGAATTGCAACATTGCCGGTACACGAGCGGGAACAGACTCAACCCGGGTGGAGAAAATATTTATAAATATATATAAATATAAATTTGGAGAATTAATATGTTTTGTTTATGGTAATATTTGAGTCAAAATCCAATCAGAGAAATAGAAATCCGCTTAGACTGTAGGTTTGCCGTGGTGGTGGGGGGGTTATACATTTTTCAATGATTTATCAAATGAAAAATGGTGCAGTTGAGATGGCGTTTTCTTACTTAATGAGATGACGTTTCTACATGCATGTCATACTGCGAAGCAAGAGAGTAATTTCGAATGTATTGACATGCAAATGGTTGCTCTTCTAACAATAGTACTTGAGTGTCAAACGTTTTTACTTCCCTCGAGACCTTAAAACCATAAACGGGTTTCCATGAACACTCTTACATGAACAACGGAATTTAGGGTTTAAAATCAACAGTTGATTTGTAGTTTAAGTATTTTCATTTGGCATTTTCCCCTTTATACAAGGGTTTATATCACCAGGTACGATGTCATTTAACCGAAATCATGAGTGCACAAAATTAAGTTCATAATACAGTATTAAAATTAGCTGTGAGTTATACATTGTAAATTTAATATAGAGAATTAGGTAAACAGAGTAGTGATGCAAATTTTAAACAAGTTACAGTAATTGATCAGAATATTTTGTAAAACGAACCTTTAGTGTTTTTTTTTCAATCTACACATTTTACTAAAAATATAATTACCTTACTTGTGTGTATTTAAATAATTTTATTACTTAACTATTTTAGGTGTAGGTCGTAGGTTGGTTGATTAATTAACTATTTATTTGTTTTATATAACTGATAGCCATTGCTATAAGCCTATTGCTTTAAATAATAATTTCAAATTTCAATGTCGTATTAATTTTTTTACTAGATTTTTAGATAGTTTCCTGATTTGATTCAGGGAGTTAAATCCTGGGTACCAGGTTCGAATATCGCTTATCAACCAGATAAAACTTCGTAACAGTGAATTCTAGGATCAGAACCAGACGTGTAGATCCTCAAATAAAAAAAGTCTTATTGACGGGGAGGGCTGTTTGGATACACAATACACAATGTTTGGTGTGCTTCACTTTGGATACACAATACCCAGATTAGGTTACAGAATAGAGCTTTCTAATCCATTTTATATTGCACATCAATTATACCAAAATCTTCCAAATAATATCATTGAGGCAGAGAGTAGCAGTGCAGCCGTTTTCGGGAGAATAGTTGGAGAGTGGCTGTTACACGTCGGCCCCACGGCTGCTGAAAATTTAATTCATTCACCATACGTTTGAATAAAAAAAATAATAAAGAATCTATTAAATCTCCAACTTATCAGCCAACCCATGCCTATGTCAAAATTTTTAGACCTGATTAATTTTTGTTTTTAAATTGTACCTAAGAATTATTTTATTTTATTTTGAGGGGTATTTTTTAATTTGCTTTAACTTAACAAGTGTTTAGAACTTATATTCTGATGGTTCTATGTTGGCCAGGACTAAGATATTTGATTTAATTTTTAATTTTAATGAATAAGTTATATTATTGTTAACTAGAAAAGTAGTTTTATGTAAGTGTATATATTTTTTAAGAGTTACCAGCGAGTGCCATGGACTCTTCCTCACACACAGACGTGTAGTCTTGTGAGGAATATTTTTTCCTTTTATAAAATATGTCACTTTTTTATTTATTGTACATTATTGGAAATAAAGAATCTTGAATCTTGAATCTTGTTTGTTTTATGAGTTTTAAATTTTCACCTCAATGTTAACATTTTACTACAGGAATTAAAATGATGTAAACTGAACAAAATACTAATTTCCTAAATTCAATTATTTTGTTATGAAATTCATTATAACTGATCCCTTTATGTGAACTTTTGTTGCCTTATAAGAACCATTATTTTTTAGTTTCACTTGTAGGTACACACAGTAACCGGTTTTTTGTTTGTGTTTCGTATTCTATATTTTACCTTACAGAAATTACAAGGAACCTCTCCACAAATCAAGCCAAACAGTTTCAAAATTCTCATCCTATATAATCAGCCTAACAATACGTGTGGAAAATTATGGATAGTTTTGCTTCCTTCTAAAGTGGCGTCTCCATTAACTTGAAGAACATGTCCTCTTAATTAAAACCTCCTAATTGCATCCTTCAGAAAAGAGCAGGAAGGAACAACTCGAGCTGTCTGGTTTAGCTTCAGCCAATTGATGACGTATTACCACTGAGGGGTCAGAGGTGATTTCTCGACCTTAAGGATTTATTGTATATTCCACTACCGCTTCCCGATAACTTATTAGCTTACAAGTAGACGCTATATACTTAGTTAATTAATATCATTGATGAAATATTTTGGTTATTTTTAACAGTAAGAATAATATAACCTAAGCTTGAGATTATTATAAACAATTTATAATTTATTAACATCTTATTTAGGTAAAGATACAATTTTGGAAGGATCTTAATCAAAGGTGTACTTAACAATCTGTGTATAACTTCCCTACACAGGCTGAACCACTGGCAAAAACCATTTGAAGTCAAATCTAAGTTTTAATCTAAATTTATCAAATCTTCAAATAAAGTTATGGTTGGCACTCCTGGAGGTTTATTTTTTACAGCTATCCATGCAAAATCATATGTTTACTAATAAATAGATGGAATATTGGTTACCTTTAACAATCTAACAATTTTTCCTCAATAGGCAAACGAAATAGTTATTTGTGTAACTAGTGGTGAAAGTGGCACTTTGCTGCACACGAGAGCAATGTTTACGCACGAGCCGCAGGCGAGTGCGGAATGATCTCGAGTGCAGCAAAGGCCTTTTTCACTCGTGTTACACTCTATATTTTTCCTACAGTCACTATAAAGCATATAAATAATTAGTCTTTCAAACACTATACAACACGTTTTTAGGTTCAGCTGGCAACACAAATAGGTGCCCTAGAGAAAGTAGTACCCGCGGTCTGTATCACTCCGCTATTTTTCCTCGGCAAGAAATGTGCTCCGCGTTTTGAGAATATAGTTCCGTATGTTTTTGTAATTTGAAGTGGTTTCCGCGCCTAAAAAAATGCTTTAAAGGTATTTTCTTGTTTATTAAGATCGTAGGAATGTTTTAAAAACGTTTAAATGAAAGTCCAGAAAGTTCAGAAATACCTAAACGATAAACACGAAATGACAGGTTAAATCGTAGTTATAATAGTCAATCAGTTGCTCATAGTATTATTGTCTTTAAGTGTTGCCAACCTATTTCCAAGCGTACACGGATTACGTGCATAATAGAACCACGCTGTTTTGTGTTGTTTCGTTGGAATCCTGATGTGCGGCAAAGTATAAACCGTACGGCAAAGTATAAACCGTACGGCAAAGTATAAACCGTACGGCAAAGTATAAATATGCAGCAATTAGCAGCTTTCTGTACTATAAACAGTACAAGGAAGCCAACTTTGTCGGGTGACTGTAGGAAAATGTATATTCTGCCTGGATTTCAGGCCTCTGAGTTATGACACAACCTGTAAAGTTAGTGACGGGAGTTTAACAGTGGATCATTGTGAAATTATAAACTTCATGTCGTTATAATTATTCACTGGTTAGTAATTTAGATTCTTAATGGATTGATACTTACGAATAATAATTATTCGTAAGTATCAATCCATTATCAATTATTGAGAGTATCCTCACTTTCATGGAAGCAGCTTTCAAGAGGTAGAACGCAGCTTCATCTAACACAACGAAAAAGTAGAAAATCAACATTTATTGTAATCAATCATTTAATTGTCCTCTTCATTCAACTCAGCTGTATGTTTACAGCAACGAATTAGCCACATCAGTCGCAGATGATCAGCAAATAATACGCTGAAACAGATGAGCAAAACACGATTTTGATGGAGCGACGTAAGTGGAGCGGAATTTCGATTGGTTTGAGAAAGCTAATGGTGGGAAAATATACTCTGAGAAGACAGTTATCTGGGTAAAGCATACAAAATACACGTACCAAACATATTTTTTTAATACATACAGTGATTTTCAATGACAAAATTAAAATTTAGCTTTTTACGTATATGATACTTTTAGATCAATCCAAGTTTGCACATTAGTTAGAAAAACTTTTTTACCTTAGGGGACCCTAACGTAAATTAAATAAGCTCCTAAGTAAGATAGCGTAATTTATCTCTTCATAGAATCGTAGATTTATCCTTATAAATTCCTTATCGTATACACATCTAAGACACATGGGTGTAACCTTGGTCTGTCCTCTGACCTTCAAATTCCATTTTGAGACTTGCAGTCGAGGTTGGAACGGGGTCAATCAAGAATATCAGCAGGTGCAATAATTTTCCGAGTCTTCCTAGTTGATATCAACACTTGCTTTAGAAGTAAAAAAAAAAAAAACATTAACATAGTTTTGATTTATTGGGGTTTACAGTTTTTTGAATTATGACAATATTTGATTTTACTGTATCATTTACAGATTTACGAAAAACATTTTAATATTCTGTTCTTCTAAGAATCCTTCTTACTTTAAATCCTGTTTCAGTTGGGGTTCTAAAAGTTTGATATTTATCACACGCCTACTTATCATTGGCAATTGTTGAGATTTGAACCCACACGTATGCGGAATACGGGAATTGTCATTTAACTACATAATTGAGAACCGACTGTTCATTTTATAACCAGGAAGGGTACTTCAATACACATCGAATGCTACTGTAACTTATGTTTACTAAGCTCAGACGACGATACTGATTTTGAAACATCGTCAAACTTAAAGAGAAGTAACCCTCGTTACTTCGGCTTTAGTAGAATACCTCAGAAAATTCGTCTCAAAGAAGAGAAATTTGCAAAGGTAACTTTTCCGAAGAGGATATAACAAAACAAGGCTACTTACCTCTGCAAGTATGAGAATGTTTCCAACCCCATAATGTCGTATTGAAGTACTGAATAAGTTAACATACGCTTAAGAAACGGTTTGATAAGGAATAAAGTACTTCACACACGGAACTTACGCAATGGTCAATGTTAATTCAAATAATACTTGTGGGGGGGGGGGAGTTCTATTGGAATATTACATTTGCTTGCAAATCCTACACCATTTCAAATAATAATACTTTAGAGTATATTATTTTTGCCAGTTTAAACTATGACAGGTGAATTTAATAATAACTGATATACCTACGTGTCAGGGTGAGTTCCTACATGCATTTATCACTTTAACTAGTAAAATTCATAAATAACAAATCAGTAAAATAAAATTTTTCGTATTAATTGCATTTTAACTGAATTACACAGTTTTTAATTGACTAGTGGTAACATTTTAGGAGAAAATACAAAAATCAAAATAGTAAACATTACCATACACCAATATCTGACCATGAGCTTATATAGATTACGGAATTTCTCACCGATTACTGTATGTTACTGGGAACGTACATGAATGTCTGATTAATACTGGTTCATAGCATCTGTCAATGCAATACAAAGCTGCTACATTGGACTACGTTAATCCTGCATGTGTAACGGATCCTGGAATATCAGCTCCCTCGTATATCAGTTCCACCAATTATCAGATCCCTCGTATATCAGTTCCACCTATTATCAGCTCCCTTCGTATATCATTTCCACCAATTATCAGCTCCCTCGTATATCAGTTCCACCTATTATCAGCTCCCTCGTATATCAGTTCCACCAATTATCAGCTACCTCGTAAATGAGTTCCATCAATTATCAGCTCCCTCGTATATCAGTTCTATCAACTGTCATTTCCCTCGTCTGTCAGTTCCACCAACTATCAGCTACCTCGTATATGAGTTCTATCAACTGTCATTTGTAATCCTGCATGTGTAACGGATCCTGGAATATCAGCTCCCTCGTATATCAGTTCCACCAATTATCAGATCCCTCGTATATTAGTTCCACCTTGTTCACCAGATAATATTATTGGTCAGTTCTATCAACTGTTAGCTCCCTCAACAACCAGTTCCTTCAAGTAACATTTTTTTATACCAATTCCTTGATTTTCAGTTGGCTCAACTATCAGTTTTTTGCCTACCAGTTAATTGAAAGCGAGTGCCATACTTTTACAGTTCCATTGTCTGTCAGGAGCCATAGACAAAAAGAATTAAATAGAGCCCGTAGCCGTGCTGCAATTAGCATAGGTTCTAGCGTGCACCACTGGCAGCGCCGTGTAGTTACGTATCGCGTACGCCGTAACTACACGGCACTCCCAGCGGTGGACGCCAGAACCTATGCTAACCGCAACACAGCTGTCGGTCTGCATTTAATTTTTTTTGTCTAAGCAGGAGCTAACTGTCAGTTCCCTCAAATTCCAGTTTGATACGCTAGTACAGTAATTTGTGTTCTAACCACAAGTCTGGCCGCGGCCACACAAAACCAACAAAACATTACATTGAATAACTACACGTACATCAAGAACTCCCATGGCTCTCTTAGATTTAGAAAATTTTCTTCATATGCGACAGGGGATATGTGTTTCCAAAATGTTTCAGCGGGTTTAATTCTGAGTATAAAATCGTCGACTTTTGTTTGTGTAATGACAAACTAGGTACGTTTTGAGATAAAATCTACGATGTCGGGTCTAAAGGTGTGGACCATCCGACTTGAATCCCCGCTCAGTTCATTTAAATGAGCAAGTTTGAGTTGGATTTAAATTTCGGTTGGAGCAACTTTTCATTTTAATTTGTACTCAACACAATACTTGTTTGATATTTATGAAATATAATTACAGTAGTCAGACAAGATTTATATCAATAATAATTACAAGATTTATTACAGCTAATCAATCAGTTACGTTACGTTTTATACTTGTAAAACTGAAAATGTTATGGAAGAATTTAGTGGAATGTATTTGATTGGAACAACAACAATCTGGAAAGATAGAATGCCGCAAAACAACTGTTACATAATGGTCCCCATTAGGAAAACGGGAGCAAAGAGCTATCACAGAATTTCACGAAAGTAAAAGTAATGAGTGAATGAACAAAATGTGTATTTTGGAGGGAGAATATAACCATAGGAAAATTAGGTTATTAGTAAATGTCTATTTGACTAACCTAGTTGTCCAGACGAACTATATAAAAAAAAAACTAACAGATGTTAATCGTTTAATGTAAAATTTTCTGCAGGAAACCGATTTGCCTTAACTTTGTTGTTTTCATAGTATGTTCAACCATTGACTATACACAGAATAGACTTCCCATGTGATATGAAAGTTTGAAGCCAAGAAAATGGATGAAGTTCAGGACCATCTCACCAGAGTTTACTAGTGTATTGGGTTGCATATTAATTAAACCAATGCAGTATCATAGCAAACAGCTGATTGATTTATCACTTAACACAGAATATTGTCATTAGTTGGTAGACCATCTCAACAGATTGCAACACGTTTTTTGGCTTCAAATTTTTACATAATGTATGGAAGTCTATTCTGTATAGTCAATGGTTCAACATAGGTGAAATATTATATATTCATTAAAACGTGTTTATTTTGTTAGTGATATAAAATTCTGCAGTAAAGATATAACTATAAAACGCAGTATTACATTTGTTAATTAACATGCGTGTGTAGAACATGTCAATGCGTTTTTACGGACTGTATTCACAGTGATACTTAGGTTTGATTATAGTTTTAATATTAAATTAAAAATACGTTATACGTATAATTTTCAATCGTTGTATATTAAAAGGTAACATAATCTTTTATTTGATAAACTAAAACCATCAACGTGTTTAATTTTTCTCCTATTCTAATATCGAAGCGATCTAAGGCAATCAGTTGACATTTCTAAGAAGTTTTAATAACAAACTCACTTAACCCACAAGTAAAACCATTTTATATCTACATTTCTTATTACGATAGCTTTAAACACATTCTATAACTCTTTAAATCATTGCATGTAAAATTATCTCCATGATGGCAGATATTATGTAAAATGTGCAATTATTATTCATTGCATAGGCCCTATTATCGACTTTTGGAGTGAGCTGTTCTAGTATTAGAGTCTTTGGCCTCTAGGGTCCCGGGTTTAAACCCCGCCAATCACCAGTGGATTTTATCAAAGTAATAACGATGTAATACCGTAAGCCAAGCCTAATTTAATGTGTAAATCGGTTCCAGGCAAGGTCCTAGTGTGCTGGAATGTGAAGGTAGGATATAAAATAAAATTTTAAATTATCGACTTTCATAGTCTTTCAAACTGATATTTTGTTCGAATAAAAAAAAATTATCTACTCGAGATCCACTATAACCTTGGTTTAACCTAGCGCGCTCGCGCAGACTCTGCGCTCAGGTGACGAACGGTTTGCGCATGAGTACTACTTACTCACCAGCGCTCGAAGCGGAGGAAGCGGAGACTACATTTCGACCTTGACCCTGCGGCCAGTGACTGATTACGTAAAGGGGGCTCGTCCCCCTTCCCTTCCCCCCTGACCCCCTGCCCGACACTGTTCGCTAAACTTGAAACTACTCGCCCTTCAAATCCAGATACACCGACCGACTGACGGATCTAGGCTACGATAACTCAACGTTACATAACTGTTATTTCCGTTCAGTTAGAACTGCATACGCGCTATTACGAGTATTTTATACGCGTTTGCGGTAACTAGATCATTACTCGTGATTGAATGTGTTTGGTTTTTGCTACTTCCGGAATCCTAAAATACTCCCATGAAGCGCGATTCCAAGTTGATCGCATGGTTTACTTCGAATGTACAATTGTCTCGAAAAATTCTCTAAGGGCAGTAGATTGTGCATTGGACTGGATTTTGAATAAGTGCTTAAACAGTTTTAAAGTTCCTCTAAACATTAGATTAAAAGATTGAAATTTTAATCATAAAATAAAAATATAATAATTACAGATTAATGCATTGAAAGATTGTTCCTATTCCCCGAACAGAAAGACTAATTTATAATGACGTTCAGCCAATTTTTTAGTAAATCCCATCCAGTATTTTGATCTGTTACGGTACTAAATATGGTTCAATTATTGCCCACGTTATTTAGCTATGTAACATTGTAAAAATGCTTATAAATTGTCAACATATTATTTGATTCGATAGTTCCCTAGTGAGAAGAAATTCCAATGGTTTTGTAAAAACTCTCATGCCTCCCATAGTACAACTCTCTTACTTTTCAGGATTAATAAGCCATCTGTGCACACAGTGGTATATATACCAACTAATGTTATTTTAACTTTATTGTTTAGGCATGGCCGTATTTCCTCCTGTTCATCGTGATCGAAAACATTCTTCTGTGGGTTGAGAAGAAGCCTCTTATGAGGATAAATGACGGACTTACCTCAATTTCTCACGGACTGTTCCAAGAATGCGGCAGGTAATATCTAAAAGATACATACATAAATAAAATTGGGTTGATAACTACTTAGTAGTAATACTTAAAATTGATTTTAGCAACTAGTTTCAGCTTTCATATGGAGCTATCTTCTGATACTTACTTCTTTACACGGACTTACTACTTTAGCCATATTGTGTTGAAAACTTTCAAAGTTAAAAGACACGAAAGTGCTTCTAAAATATTTCTACTATATGACTCAACGTTTAAAATAGCTATAACCTATTACTGTGTATTAACCATTGAGTATAGGGAGGGCTATACTTAACCGTATTACCATTGTATTACGTATTGTAGAATTATGGGGTGGACAATTATCGATTATGGGTTTGATTTTGGACAAGGTAGTTCTGATTACAACAATGTAAAATTTACATGGTATGATATACATATAGAACGTATGTATTCTTGGAACTTTTCATAATCGTCCCATGGGTTGACATAGCTATGAAACGCGTATCTATGTTTTTATCTCTTAGTCCTCATTTTCTATGGTTTTAGTATTGAATTATTGAAATGTGCAAGAAAATTATATCTTAGAAAAGCAATAAAA